GTAGAAGTCCAACCCCTGTAAATTTAGATGAGGAGAGTGTTATCTCTAAAAGTATGTCAACGACAAAGTTGAACAAGAATGGGGAGAGTGGACAGCCCTGACGAACACCACTTGAGGTGATCAATTCTGATGACAGTTCGCCATAAGCTCCCACTCTACCAGTTGTGTTCGAGTAGAGAGTCAGTCAGTCAGTCAGCTACAACGTAGGACCAGGCACATATGTGCATCGGTCCAGGTTGCCATACCTCATTACCACAGCAAGATGAACACCGGATTCATAAAAGTAGTTAATTCAGAGGTGGTAATATATAAGAGGATTGCAATAAGGATATAGTATAGGAAGAAAGAATTAGTTCGTAGAAAGAAAGATATGAAGTGATTTTAATCTCTTAGTTTAAGGGAAGACAGGGAGTAGAGAGCCTTTATAAGGTTAATGTACTACGGGATTTGAATCGACCACTGCATCTCTATGCTAATGTGGTGTGGCAACTCGAACTGATGTACGTACGTACGAAGTTCTACGTTGTTACTGACTGAGCAGTCAGACCGACAGCTGTTAGACCCACACAGCTAATTCTACATCATGGCGCTATGTCGCAGTGACATTTCTGCTTTAGTTACGCGTTCCAAATCCTCACAAATATCAATTGCTGTGGAAGATACGAGAATGCAATTGGTCGATAAGTGAATAAGTGCTATTTCAGTATCTTGCGAGACATCGCAGTTACATTTCAAAGAGTCAAATGTGCAATTTTTCATTTATTAAGATTCAAGTATCCTAACTGTCAAAAAAGCAGTAGAGCCGAGCTTTCGGGTAATAGGCACTTATGAACGTTTGCGCAAGCATTTCTATCAGCAAAGGCTTTGGTACAAGTGGAACAGGAATCTCAGAAGTCAAACTATCTATTGTTTACGAAATTCAGAGAACGAAACGCGAATGTACAGTGCTTTAACAGGCTTGGTGGATATGGAGGATCCATCTTCGGGAGTTGAAAAACCCTGATCCCAAACAAGTGGTGTACGTGGACTCTAACGTCCTAAGAAGACAGAAGCGTATGAGCTTATTGTTCGCCACCGACCACCATTGGAACTGCACCTCCTTACGTTGCTAGTGGACTAGGCGTCCAAGTCAAAGGCTCAGGGAGTGACCATGTAAGAAAACTACCTGTTTCGGTTTGGACGCCCGGGCAGTATCTCACCCCTCACACGAACTGAATGATCTATGTGGCACATACCTACTTGGTGCTTCCTTGTACCAATGTTTATGTTTAAATGAAAAAAATATTGTACAATAAAATACAAGGTTAAGGAAAATGTCATCTGGCCTAAAGACGTTTCACTCTGCTGACGCAACTAGTTGATAAACTTCTTCTCCATTTCTTAAGATAGGGAGTAGTTTTATTCGGGTAAAAATCGACTTACATTACATTTATTTTTAGAAGGACGGGGCAATAACTTAATTAAATTTCGGCTGGTATCTCTTCATTCAGCACTCATCAATTTTTTTGAAATATTCGGTCTATGGTGACTTTCTGTGTCATATATTTGCGGGTTTTGCATGGCACAGAGTGTGACTGAACTAAGTGTTTGAGGGAAGATGAGGGGCACTAATACACACAAATGGTTGTAAAACTAGAGAAATAGGCAAATGACTTATGATTCGATTATCTACCCATACATTCCTAGTCTTATAAAATGGGCAGCTAGTGAGCTAACAGGTTATATAAAACTATGAGTTAAAATAAACAAACGCTGACCGGATCAGATGACGGCATTGACCTTTGTTGTGCAGCTACGGCAGCCGCTACTGCAGCCATAGTGGCTGACGGATTATTTGTTATTGATGCCAAACTTTGCTGCATACCTAGCCCCGTTTGAGTTGAAATTGTTGTATGAGCCGATTTAGACCCATTCAAGCCAAATAAAGACGGATGATGCGGTCTGTGAGGAGACTGGGAACCACTCAATGTTTCAGGATTTATACTAGATATTGATGCAGATCCATTAGCGTTCAAGTTATGTTTTGGCAGAGAGACATGTTGGACAGCCTGTGGTTGCATTGGTTGTCCTGTAGGTAATGTAGTTTGGGGCACCGTAAGCCGATTTTGCGTGCTAGTATTGTTTGGTTCCAAACCGAATTGAGTAGGTGCATACCTGCTAAGTAAGCCATAGTTTCGCTGAGGAGAAAAAATCTCGACTAAAAACACCTTACCTTTTTTGTTTTTCACGAAGGCTTGTCTCCTCACTGGCGATTTGTTTTAGTCGCTGGAATAGCTCATTTCTTCTAGATGTGAGTTCTTCTATGCGTTTACGAGTTACCAAGATCTTAACTCCTGCGTTAAACTTTTAGATAACCGTACCTCTTTTTTAGTATTTTCTAAATTCTCTGTATCCATTTCGGCTTGTCGTTTAGATTCTTCCCTTTCACGTCGTAAACGCTTAACAATTGCGTCTTGTGCTTTTTCTAAAGAATCCCAAAACTGTAAATGTTCCAGCTATAAGTACCTTCTTGTTCTCGTTTTCTTTTGCTCATAATATATTTCTTCAGTTTCTGGTACATCGCTTGGTTAAGCTTATGTCTTTCTATGTTAACGGTGTTCGGCATTATTAGAGCAACCTTGAGTTTCAATAATGGCGGGTCGAGACGAACAGAGCCTGCCAGTTCAATATTGTACCGGTGTCACTGTATTTGCAGGAGAGCGTTTCATTGTGCTAAGTATGTATAAAACTACTTAATTTAGCATCGCTTAGGTTCACAATTTACCCAAACTTATTCATTTTGTCAATCATAAGTAGCTTTTACCGTTTTATTAGTTATATTAGTTCAGTCCAATAGCTTATGGTATAAAAGTCAGTACATGAGTTTGATAATGTTGTTTTTATGATGAACCAGATGCACATCAATTATCATATTCCCATCGCCGAAGAAATGCATTTCAGTTTCGTCTTATAGATTGGACCGTCTGAACGATTAAACGGTATATAAAATACTACTACTGTAACGTATGCTGTTGGGAAAAGACGACAAAATTGGCGTCATCGTTCAAATTAATGAAAAATATCAATCAAAAACTAACTTTAACCGAGTCTTTTTGGCAGAGGCTGGGACATTATAAAGTTTATCTAGTAAGAGAATAATAGTGAAGTAATGTAATTCTGCAATGTGTAGCCTGGATATCTTTAGTGCAGCACTACCTGAATAAAATCACCAAGAAAAAGCGTTCAAAACGCTATTAAATATCAACGAGCTAATCTTACGAGAGCAAACAATATATCTTAAAGGCACGTCTTCTAATTTGATCAATAGACTCATTGGAAGAGAAAATTGAACTCCATAAGAAGGCTGAAATACACTTGAAGATCTGATTTTTATGGAATGTTTCAAAATTTGTGCAAACCAGGGATTGAATGGTGAATTCTTAGGCGAAAGATGAGAGCCCTCATAAGGGAACGGCTCTTTATCATCATGGAAAACTATGAGCGGTTACGTTTAACGATGAGGGCTCAAAATAGTTCAAATGATTTTAGGTAGGTTTGAAGATAAGACGAGATACACTGACTTTTGTTACCGTATATTGAGTGACCAAATACTGGCCTACGGGTATCGAATAGTGAATTAGACATCAGTGTCTTACTATTTTCTTTCGTTTATAACCAATTGCTGAGAGGATGGTTCTGTAAAACTGAATAACCGAGACAAGGCGGTCTATGTCTGGGGCATGATATCTTAATCTGAGCCGTGAATTGTTATAAATTACCGTCATAAAACATGATATCAGTAACTTCTGCTGGTAAGTTCTAGTGGAATAATGTTCTGAGTCCTTGAGAATATGTCACGTTTTTATGTTTGGAGGACTCATGGGAAGTCACATGAACGAGATCGACCAGCAGCGAACTATAGAATATGACTACTTTTATGGAATAGGAGGTGTGCATTCAGTCCGCTCTGCTTGGGTGTGTCTCCAGTGTCTGGGTGTTACCTTTAAGATTTATGTTAGAAGTGAGCATAGGTGGGTATTTAAGGGGATGTTTAGGAGTGTTCATGATGTTGTAAATTATTAATTTGTCACCAATGAGATGCCTATATTGTGATGGGTATAGGTTCAGTGGCTTGAGGTGCTCTTCGCAAGGTTTGAATTTCAGTCCTTGAACTAACTTCGTAGCTCACCGTTGGATATGTGCCAGAGTATTCTAAATTCTTTGGAGTGAGGGAGGTAACACGATATTTGCATGGTCTAAATGGGGTGAAATAAGACTTTGAAGATTAAGTGGAAAGTTCTTCTGTCAAACTGGCCAAAAGTGAGCCCTGGCTTTACAAGTTTGAGGTTTTTTGGAGTCTATTTTCGTCTGTGTTCGCGTAAGACTTCAGCTAATTGATATGTACCCTAATTTTAATTGTCTTCTTTCCACACTGAAACTAAAATTTTGGAAGAATAAGAAAAAAAACATATTTCTTAAATTTGACTGTTCTTAATAAGATAAAGGGAAAGTAAAAGAAGCTTTTATTTTCGTACACATGCAACGCGAAATCGCAGGTTGCGGAACAAGAGCTTGGTTGCTATCATATATTTTGGCGCGCGTTCGGCGTCCTAAGAGTGTAGCGGGTTTGAAACTGTAGATTGTTGTGATTGCGTGTTCCATTTATTTCTAGTCTTCCTTGGTCGATCATCTGATTGCTCCGGTTTAATGCTCATATTTTATTGACCGTTACTGATCGCTTTCATTGAGAAGTGCAAATGTATGTATGGAAGTGTACATATTGCTTACTAGTTATCTGATCTGTCGGCTAGCATTTTCCCAACTCATTTTCTTCTTTGAGAGTCTTTCTTGACACTCGTTCAACAACAGTCAGCCTTAGGGCTCGGTTAGGATCTATCAGCGCTTTGAATTTACCAAAATATTTAGAGGTAATCTCTTAGTATATTCCTGATTGATGATTGTTGCAACAATCATTTAAAAAAACATAACTGGAAGTTCTTTTGTGAGTTTTAACTTTTGAGATGAACTTCTCGGATGTGGTAAAGGTTACGAATGGTTTGGCTGTTTGTCGTCAAACGGTATTTACATTGCTTCCGGTTCTCAGCACAAAGTTTTTATTCGTATAACAAACACGCTACAAATATTTCAGATATACAGTTGTGTAGATATAGTGCAGAACATATTGTGGTCAGCAGACTCATTGTTCATTCTGATTATCCTGAAACATCGTGGCATAGTGCAGGTAGCAAGTTTTAATATTTTGTTAGTTCACGTAGATATTCTCCCTAGAAAATCCGGACTGGACATGCAAAGTTGACGAGGGTTCTGCTGGACTTCTTAATGCTATATGGTCGCCTGATAGCAGACACTTCTTGACAACAACTGATTTTTATTTGAGGATAACCGTTTGGTCAATATCGGAAGTCTCCGTTTCGTATCTAAAGTTTCCTAAAGTGAGTTCTGGTTTTATTTTGTAAACCCTTAGATTGTTCTCTGATTTAAGACATAGAGTGGTATCAATAGAGCAATTTTTCTTAATGTGTAATAATAAAAAAGTGATATCTGAAAATGGAACCCCTAGATTTTTCGGAAGTATTGTGTTTATTGTATTCCTATCTTCTTGTTATATTAAGTCTATATATGGACTTGATGCTCTACAGTTATTACTTGCTTAGCAGGAGCCACGTAATGTAGATCACTTGATTACTTAATTCATAAGTAATGAAGCCATCTTTATGGTACTTATCAATACTTTTTGTAAATCATGTTTGCTTTTCTTTACCAATTAAGGTAGTATCACCTGATGACCAGCTCGAGAATGCCGGATTTTGTCATCTTCGAAAATTTCCAGTCATTGTACTTAATTTTCGCTCGAACTCTTAGCTTCATTTGCTTTACTTACAAACCAGTAAGTACTGTGAAAGAGCGTTAACTATGAGGCTACTAAATGAACATTGGTTCATCATTCAGTGGTCAAAAAGTTCCACATATTTCTCACCATAATTTCTGCCTATCTTTATGCAGTAACATAGGTATACATCAAAAGTACTCAACTGTAGAGTCCGATTGGGGCTATTCCATTGCGAGTCACTTGATGTAGTTTATTTCTAGTTTGCTACACGTTAAAACATAACATTCAGAATAAAAGTGCCTTTGCGATGCATATCTTTTAATTCTTGATACCAGATGAGGATCTAGTGATTTTATAATTGAACCAGAAGAATTTCTTGTTCAAACTTCCCCTGAAAGTCAATTCTTATCAAATTGTGATATATTCTTGATAGCCATGTAAACGTTTAGAAAGCATCTCTTGTTTCAGAAGCATTTGGCGATTATCAGTATAGCGTGTTCTAGCCGATTAATCAAAACAACTTTTGTGTAGAGAAACTGCAGTGCTCACCAACAAATATGTTGTAAACGAGTTTTTTGTTTGTTATCGTTAAATATTTAGTACGGATTGAGGTGTCGTATTAATAGTCATTGTTTACAACGATTACCTACTGTAAGCTCTGCTTGCACTTTATGTATTTAGGCATGTGCAAATAATTTGGCATTTTGTCCTGGTGGTCGTTATTTAACTTTGCTTGAACGACGGAATTTTCAAGATCACTTAAGTCTCTTCGATTGCAGACTTCAGTGGACTATTCTTTGGAACATAACGTTAGAAACTGATGATGCCGTGGGAGTTGTGTGGTCTCCAGATGGACGCTATATCCTCGTGTACGATAACTGCTTGCGATACAAAGCATCTATATACAGTGTTGGTGGAAAACATCTCAATACATATTGTGCTTATAAACCAACACAAGAGCTTCTTGGTATCAAATCTGTATCATGGTCCCCCACAGGGCAATTATTAGCGCTGGGGAGGTTCGTTTGTGTTTTTATTCGTCGTGTTAATTAATTTTTTAATTACTTGGTTTTAATCTATTATCCCAGTTTGTACACCTAATAAATGTCGATAATTTATTACTTGGAATATTGTTATATTTCTATCATAAGGCAAAATGCTCAGGTGTTTGCGCTTTATATTTAGTTACGTGTATTAAAGAGCGCTTATAATAAAGCGACAGGGTCTTATATATTTTTACTGCTTACATATATTAGTTTTTATAACAGAATTTTCCACCTTTTCGTAAATTTCATGAAAAGTACAGTTGGGTACATAAGTTTATTTCATAGACTGCAAACGATAAGTAACGTCAGCTGATTTGACTTCATACACATTATTCATGGCAAACAAGTAGTATTTTAAGCAGAGTTTCGTTTGTCGTCCAGTGTAGTAACACCTTTTCGATGCTTGATTTTTATGCAACATATAATCTTGCGATTTTATAGTATGCATACTTTGGAATTTTTATTAATTTTATCAATTCGAGAGAAAAACTCCCTTTTTGGCTACATCCTTTAGATTAGCTATATAATTATTGTCACTGGCTACAGTCCGAAATTGAGTAACCAGTTGACTGTGTCATTAAAATGTTCATAAATAGGGATATGTTGTTTCTAAAAACGGGAATAGGTTATGTAGTAGTATATAAAGCTGTTGGATAATGTGTAATACAACAGTAATAAGCCTATCATGAAAACTAGTTGCTTCATTTTAACCTTAATATTTATCCAAACACTTATATACAGGATCGATATTTATGATGGTGGAACGTTCGATTTCATAATTTGTTGTACATTAATACAAGTTTCCGTGAAAATTGCTTTTTGGTGCTTGTGCTTTTCTTATTATTTTTCCGCAGCTGAAATTTGAATATGCGTGATGGAGTTAAATAATGAAGCTTAAAACACTTTCATGGGAAATAAATCTTTTAAAACTCTGGCAGCTAAATCAAAATTGCATGCTAGTCATTTCGACATTAACAACTTTATTTTATTTTACAAATAATCCTAAATTCTTATGCTGTAATTTCAAGCCCTAAACGTTTGGACTATTGATTTGGATTTATTACTGTAGAACTCGTAGGAAATTTATTGGAAACAATTTTCTTCGTTTCTTTATCTGTGTTTTAATATGATAGGAATTTTTAAACAGTTGAACCAATTTGGACGCATGCCACATTTTTATATAAGTAGACTTCACTGAACTATTGTCAAATGAATGAAGGCTAGTATACCTATGCGTAAATGTCCTTTCATCCTTATCTTGTATACAAATGAAATAAAGGGCTAAGCTTTTCGCTAATGATTTAACCAGTGTCATTAGTACATAAGGAGTATACTGTTATGGTTTAACAATATTTATGTAGTTTCAACTAAACTAAAACATTCTCATACTTGTTCATTCTTTTCTGTTTTTTTTCTAATAGCTACGATCAAAAATGTCGTTTATTAAATGATTTCAATTGGACTTGTTTAGCTTGTCTAAAGCATCCTGTTAACAAACCAATCGATCCTTCTCTCGGACTCAGTCCTAATGGCCGTCCTTTGTGTGTTGATAATGAAGTTGATGGGGATTTAGAAGCATATCGGGCACACCGTATTGATATTTATGAAGAGTTTCGAACAGGTGCTTCATCGGATTTATCAAACAATTTTAAAGGTCCCCTAGATTCATCTACTGTCCAGTACAAACTACTAAATGATCCTGTTACCATTCAATCAATTAAGCCTGATCCTAACCAAGCATTTCCTAAGGTTAGTAGTAATTATGTAACTTGTTTCAAATCACTAGTTTACTTAGTTTCTTGTAGTTTTCTCTTCACAATCCATATAGATGTATTTGTTTTTCGTTTATATAGTCGTTTAAATATACTTTATATAATTTTCTAGTCTACTTTCAAATTCATAAGAATGTGGAGTTATTGCCTGTAGACCTTCAAAACTGATAGAACTTCCAATATAAGTAAAGTGGCTAAAATGCTCAACTACTTTGCTCTCTGTATTTTGATTATGTATTGATAAAGATCAGTTTTGAAGTAGCACTTTATACTTGTTAGGAAAGAAATGAATGCCGAACACTATCGGATTTTTGATCAAGGTGTTCATAAGTTTTCATGTTGTCCGCTTCTGAATTGTAAAAAAACGGTTATTTGCATATTATAAGTCGATAAGTGAATTTCCGGTAGGGTAATACTCGTAAAAATTCAGATAATGTAGCTGGTATTTCTAGCAGTATACCTGTGGGAAAATTCCGTAGAACTGGGGAACTCTGACGATTACTACTTAACAAGGTCAGTCCGTCTTAGGCTTTGACTAGAGCAATGATGTTTGAATAGCGGAGTTTCAGTAGGTTTATGTGCTCCATCAGTGACCACGAACAATCTCTTCGAATCACTTATAGCTCCCGAACTCTAGCTATCATCTCGGAAAATCTAACTAACGATGCTGAAAAACCGTCCTCAAAGTTTATGCTCTTCAGATCTTCACTAAGACTTAGAAGTCTAATTTTGATCTCCATCCATACCATTAATAGATAGCGAGTAACTAGAGAACAACTGAGGGTAGTTAAGGCGTTTGTTAGTGTCTCATTCATCTTCTCAGTTACCTGGTTTAAGACGTCTTATCCTACCACCTACTTTGCTGTTAATACCACTCACTACAGTTATTATGTCTGAGTGCCTGGCTTTCTAAAGGATTCCAGAAAGCTTTCGATAGAACTCGTCATCATCTCTGATGTATAGTTTGGAGTGTGGTTCCGTGGAACTGCGAATAACGTTTCCTAAACTGGATTTACTGGTACTAGTGTGGATTATAGAGATAGGAAAGAGTTGAATGAATACTGAATAAAACTGTTTGGAAACTCGAGTGCTTCTAAAGGTATGTAGACATATGATATCTTCCAACCTCCGGGATACTAAAAGTGTACTTTCTGAGCAGCAAGAAAATAGAACGAGATTGATGTTGGTGTCCTTATCAACCTAGGAGCATGGTAAAAGCTCAGGGTTAGTCACCAATAACCTTTTTCTGAGCGATTATTTATGCTGTATCAACCTCGTAACTTTTAAATCTTGCCCTTGCGGAGCAAATAACATGTATCCTATTCAATATAGCTTGTTACAATATTCAAAATTTATCACAGCATTAAGGTACCAGCTACGATTTAGAAAGTTCCGAGGTTAACATATCCGAGAGAAATATCAATTGATCATGAAATCATTTTCCTGGTGCATTAGAAAATGTAATGTATCATCTATTCAGTACGAAGTGAATCTCAACGGCCATTCTACGGACTTCAACTTATGATTTACACCAACAGTTCTTGAATTCAGTAGCCATCTTAAAACTCGAACTCCCAGTTTCTTACGTATGTACCATATATATCATAATAACAGAACTCAATTATGGTTATTGTCATTTCTAAGTAAAGTTCTTCCTGATTTAGTGCTTACATACGTCCAACTGTGTGTTAATCAAGTTATTACACCTCTAAAGAGTTCAATCCAATCCGCTGACTCACTGAAAATTGGACAGCTAACCAATAGGGATGGCTCAATAACCTTTTTTTCAATTTCAGTTCAGAATTGATAAAAAATTATTATTTTCTATCAACAGCTAACTAACAATATTTAAGAGTATAGACGAACACCAGCAAAAAGGTTAGGCTATAAAAATATTAGGTGGGGATGACACTATATGGTTATTTGATGCTAAACATGTGAAACGGAATTTTAGTTAGTGATTTTTGCTCGTCAGTATGATACTAAGTATTTTACGCGCTTTCATCGTCATATTAGTGCATGAAAAATATTCTTTTATTTTCAGAATTTCCCTTTTTTTTAAGTTATAACGCTGATGTATATAAAAAAAATTCTGAAACATTTGTAGGTAGGAATTGGTTTGACAGAATTTCATCAGATGGTCGATTTTTGGCCACACGAAACGATAATTGTCCGAGCGTAATTTGGATCTGGTCAATTGACCGACGTCTAAGTCTATTTAGTCTTCTAATTCATACTAGTGGTTGTGTATCCTCTCTGATGTGGGATCCGAGGTGTTCTGCTCGACTTGCTTTGTGTACAGGTTCAGATGCAGTATTTTTGTGGACACCTCAAGGATGTCTTGCAGTCCAGGTTAGTTTTATTTTATAGTAACATGTTTTACAAACAAATTTTCCCCACCTTATATATATCAATAGGGCAAGAGCAATCATTATCGGTGGTCTCCTTTATCAGGTGATGGGATTGAGTTCTCCAAATCCATCTAAAAAATAACGGATACTCATATCTTTATAGGAAATGGCAAACATACCAATTATATCGGGTATCTCTTATTGTCCAAGCTATTCAAGGTCGACAATATAAATATCTTTAGAGAGTTACAAAAGCCACTATATTATGTTAAGATATCATCACATAAGCCAACTTTTTAGTTCACATTCCTGTAAAGTTTGTTTTTTGATGAGACGATAAGGTTTTTCGTTCCAGGCGAGTATCTAAACCTTTAAGCGAAGGGTAGAAAGAGAAAGTCAATGCGCAGTTAAGGAAAGAAATCAACGATTGAAAACATGTGAGGAAAAAAAAATAGTTAAATGATTCATCCGAAGGGAACAAAAAGTATACGCTGGAATACAAAATGAAGTGAATAGAAAGATAAGGAGAGTTAAACATGAATAAAGAAACTGCAAAATAGAAGAATTAGAACTACTCTTCTCACAACATGAGCATCACAAAGCATATATAGGGCTAAAGGAAATACTATCAATCTAAATAATAAAAACAATGTACGAGGAAACGTGAAACAGGTAATAAATGTAGATACTAAAAAGTTACTACCGATAGCTGTTTGAAAAGGTAGAATGTGGCATAAAGTCTGAAAATAAAATAAGTGAAAATGATATCCCCTTTTTCTATGTCAGACGTTGTAAAAAGTCTAAAAAGAACAAAAACTAACGAAACACTGGGTAGAAATGGAATAACTACAGAAATGACAAAGCAAGAAGGAAGCAGACTGAAAGAAATACTCTTTAAAAATATGAATGAATTTTGGATGGACCCAGAAACAATATTACAACACCAGGTAGACTCAGATGTAATCAGCTTATTGAGGAGATAGAAAAAATCCAGTCAATTATAGAAGTATTTTCTTGCTTGATGTAATTGGAAAGATATATGACGAAATGTTATATGACCGTATAAATATAAAGACTGATGAGAAACTCTACTTGATACAATTCGGTTTTCGAAATTTCACATCCACAGCATAAGCGATAATAACCGTTCGACATATAATTCAATGTGCTTTAGTTACCAAATCCAAAATTGTACTTTGGATTTGATTTAATAAAAGCATTCGATACTGTGCCGAAGGGGTTGATCAGTAAACTAATAAATGAACCAAATGTACCCACAAATATTAAAGGAAATGTTTAACGATTACTTCTAAAACAAAAATGACACTTGATTCGAACGGATTTACACTTTACAGTGGACAGAGGTGTCAGATAAGGGAGCAAAGAGGGTCCACTTTTCTTTAACCTTGTTTTTCAAGAAGTCCTGAGAGAAACAATAAACAAGATGATACTGGCATAAAGATGATAGGTAAGTAAAACAGTGAATGGATAATTAAGCTTGTTGAATATACAGATGATCTGTGTATAATTACTAAGATAGCAAGTGGTGCAACTGTGTTGTTAAATAAAATGCAAAATTTTCTTGACAAACTCGGGATGAAAATATCAAGTGAAAAAATCAAGGTGATGATCATAAATACTAGTGGAGATAGAAAAACAGTTAAAATTGAGGAAAAAGTAGTCGAGAACGTAAATTTATTTGAATACCTTGGATCCAAGGCGTGTAACAATGGTCTCTCTGAAGAGGACATACAAGATAACTTGCAATAATTCACACAAGACCAATAAGACTGATCTTACTATCAGTAAATGTCAACATTAGCACAAAGGCAAGATTGATTGAAATGGCAGTAGTATCCACTTTAATGTATGGACTAGAAATAATAGTCTTATGTCAAAAAAATGCAACGAGATTAGAAACCGCTAAATACTATGAAACGTATGATATTAGGAATGAATGACAAGAAAAATTTGACTATAGAAGAATTGAGAGAGGTTGTGAAACTATCAAAATCAGGCAAATAGACTGAATGATTGGTAAACGGACAAAATAAGAAAGGATAGTGTTTTGTTCAAAGCGGTCAAGAGTGTGTTTGAGAATTGTCACGAAAGTGCGCACAAAAAAGGTGGGTAAGACAAATTCAGATCGGTTTTGTGACACCGAAATAATATCTACCAAATGAATAGATAAATAGCCCGACCATTATAGAATTAAATAGATTCAGTGAATACGACCTGGCATACTAGAAAAGCGATGATGAAATACCTAAATTGCAATTGTAGTCGATTTTTCGCAATAAATAAAGAAATGTATTGATACTATAGAAATGATTACGGTTTAGAAGATGCAGAAGCTAAGAAAACTGATACATCTGTCCTATAAAAATGACTGGCTAAGAACAGATAATTCCCATTTAAGCATTAAGAACACGAAAATCAATAGAATGGTTACTAAGAATTCTCAAAACATGCCACTCACAACAACAGCCTGAAACTGAAAGGAAATCGACGTGATCTGACCAGGGAGATAACTATGCGGTCCTGACAAGTAAAAGAGAGAATGACAACGAACAAAGGACGAGGAACAAGTTGGACCACTGCTCATATGAAGGATGTACAAAGTAACTCCCAACTTGGGAAGGAATAATAAATCATTGCTATGTGATTTATATGTGGTCTGCCGTCACCATGAATGTATGAAGGGAGAGAAAGTTCAAGACTAATACGTCTAATTCACCTTGGTGTTTGTACCGTGTCATCTATGAATGTCTCCAGAAAAAGCAGTCGACTTCACCAACCTTTATGGCTGAAAGAGTCAATAGATTAAATAAAATATTGTATATATCGTATGTGAAAGAACGCTCTACAACAACAAGTGGTTGCGTAACGAACAAACTCTGATAATGAGTAAGAGTAAATTGAGTAAAGCTCAGTTAGTTAACATAGAATTACTAATCTAGAAGATAGTCAAAATAAAAGGATATAGTGACGTGATTAGTTGAATGAGTTTTAATTTGGTTTGCTTTCAGGGTGCACATCAGAAGCAATTCTTTTATATATATCGAAAAATCGATGACCCAAGTCTTAGGCTGATATCCATATCAATATTCACAACGAATCTACAGCTTTCTATCGTGATTTGTCTACATATTAATAAAGCCACAGTAATTTACATATTGTTTTTGGATACTCGGTTTAATAACTGTAAATTGTAGTCACATAGTTCGTACCACAGTCCTTCTACTAATAAAGACACCATAAAAAGCAGCATAAAATACCCAACTTTGTTACATTATTAATAATATATTTTTTGTATAACTTTTTGGATATTCAGGCCCCAACACACTTCAATTTTCTAGTTTCGTCCCTCGTCTGGCTTTCGACTGGAGACGGAATTCTATTACAGTCGGAGAATGAATTTTGTCTATGCTATCTAGATTCTGGTGATAAGCTTGAGAAACATAAACCTCTTTGGAAGCCTCCTAAAATCAATTTGTCGACTGGAAAATTGCATCAGTATGAAATAAAAAGAAGTTCTGAAAATGAACCCGATCATTGTCTGCCGTTTAATAATTCTGTTGAAAATGAGGACTGTGATTCTATTTCTAACCCATTTGGTGAAGATGCTCCAAATTGGCTAAAACAACACAGTAAGATATCCTCTGATATCACTGTAAAGGTTCGAAGAAGAAGTTTATCTTCGTGTGATAAACGTAATGCTACGAGTAGAGAATCGAAACCTTCTCGAGTTCTTTCCTCTTTATCAATCTGTCGACAAGCTTGGTTGGCTCCTTCCCCAAATGTAAAACTGGCTAGAAAGTCAACAATTCAAAATGCTATTACAGCGAAACGATAGTGCTTTTCTGTTAATCTATTTGCATTTAAATACTGTCTGTGGAAATACCGACTTGTTCCTATTTCATATCAATAGCGATTTTTTGTGTATTCGATTGACGCATTCATTTCACATATTGTATTTGCCGTTCAGCTAATAGTTGTGTAGGACTGTTTTGAATATTTACAAAATATTGCTTAGTTTTTCCGGAAAATATTTTTTTAAAAATCACTTGTGTAACTAACTTTCGTTTTTAAACTTCTTTTTATGTAATAAACTGTCGTTTTCTTTATTAATCCTTCAGCAGTACATAGTTACCAAACAAAAATTAGTTGTCAGTGATGGTGATTTTTCATACTGAAATTCCTCAACGTGTATATATCTTCATTTGTAATCGAATGTTTAGTGTTAACAGCTGTAAAAGTCATTCATAAACAAAGTAGGACCTACAATAAGTATGTGTTACTCCATGTCTGAACATTATACATCAGCATGGTAAGAGAAAAGTAATACTTAAGTCGTATCACGTATAGTACAAACAATAAATACAAGAAATAGTTCAGAAAGTACAAACGAAATCAAAGGGAAAAAAGTATTACATAGGATCATAACTCGAGACTGAGAGCAATATAAGGGATCAATCCGCTTCGAATCATGTAAATTATGATCTTCAGTTATTGATTACGACTATCCTGTGGATCCGTAATGTACGATCAGCACCTAACACTGATCCGCTTCACAGTCCGTAGCTTCATGGCTAGCGTTGTTTTATCATCACCTAAATGCCCTTAACTTTTGTCTAAATCATTCCAATCTTAGCCACCGTTTCACATCATGATAATTGGATTCTGGACATGTGTATTTCGTTCCAACTACCCTAACAAATGAGGGTTCACATCCTCACTAACCAACTCACTGTCTTAACTAATATCCTACATTTAGCTTCAACACTAATTACTTGGGGGTTCCGCCATATATCATCACTACTTTGAAAACATATGATCAACTACTTGTAGCTTATTCATATCTTCTACTTTCATAGGTCTTGATTAGCTTCCGTGAGAATTCTCCGTTTACTCACCTTTTTATTATTCAGGAGCATATTTAGTCTGATCCATATATGGGACAAATTTGAGAATTCAAAGAAATCTTTTTTTATATCCGTGTCAAAACTTATCACCAACTGATTCACTAGTTGGGATGAAGCTCCCAAGTTAGTTAGGTGATCAACATACTCAAGTACTTCACATCCTAATGTCCTATTAGTCATTTTCTGCAGACCCTTAGTAAAGTATATTGACTCTCAACGTGCGTTCGATTATTTAAAGAAAAGAATGTGGTTGTATGTTTTGATTAAAGTACAAATATATTCGAATACTTCTTTCAGTTAGATTGACTTGTGTTTTTGGTGAACTAGGGAATTTCAGGCTGATCTGTTTATTTTGTCACAAGATTTTTGACTTCATTTCTGTTGAATGATTATTTTCTGGTCTTACGTGGAATCCTCTTAATTTTTATTACATCTATATTTCTTTTTATCAAACTGGATCACTAAGATCAATACAGAAGCTATTATCATAGTATATTTAAGAACAGGTTTTGTCATTTAACAATAATCGTGCATTATTTTTGTATAGGAACCTAAGGATTCCATTTTCGAAGAACAGTTCTGAAAGATTGTTGAATTTTTCATTCAGCGGTTCTGTTCTAACGGTAGATGTTTACTCAGTTCACTCAGTAGATAAACTTGGACATATTACAGAGACATCGTTACACATGTATAGGACATTATTAGATGTGCTCATATAATTTCATTAACATGGTGCACCTGCTCGTATACTATCAGGTAAACTATTCTGATAGTACTAAAGTTTATTACTGAAATGTATTACGAACCACTACATTTCTTTTTGCATGCGATTCTAATTAAACAACTCCACTTACCTTATTTCTTGCATAGTTTACGATATATTCCTAAAGATTCCAAAAGTGTAAAAATAAAAAAACTGTAATTATAATTTGTTCTGTCTGTATGATATGGTGACTTGAAAGTTACTTTTTCGGTCAATATTGAACCACATATCAAATCATTCGTATTCATACAAAATAAATGAAGATTAAAAAGTTCATACATATGAATGATATTTATCAAATAAATTCAATTTTTCAACAGTAAAGCAAAATATACTGACAGTTATTAAGAAGTATGTTTGAAAATGATCAAATATTATTTTTAGAATTTTATAATATATACAACATAACATTTAATCAAGACATTTTCATATTCAGAGAGAGGTTTTGTGGATATTATAGTAATTTAATAGTTGAATTCAGGAGTCAATTGAAGCTGGACCAGCATGGAAAACTTGGGAGCACTGGACATCTGTTTCACCTCATATGGGACTCCCAAGGAATGCACATCCACGATCCTGCCTCTCAAGATTCGAGCCCAGCACCTACCGGTCTCGCACGCGAACGCTTAACCTCTAGACTAATGGTCCGGTATCCTCCAACTTCAAATAATGCACGATATTGCATAACCATCCTCCATTGTCTTTGATAGATAACTTTCTGACATGGATCGACTAAAGTGGTAAATTCGCACCGTTGAATGTCTGTTAATTGATCTACGTGTTAAGCGTTCACGTGCGAGACCAAAGGTCCTGGATTTGAATCTCGTGTGCGAGATCGTAGATGCATCACTTCTGAGGTGTCCCATACTAGGACTAGATGACTTTTCAGTGCTTTCAGGTTTTCAATAGTGGTCTAGCTTCAATTGACTCATGAGTTCAACGATTAAATTACATTTTCATATTTTAAAATGTTTATCTTTTTTTCTCTGAAAAGAATAAAAGATCTAGTTTAGATGGTTTTAGATATAAAAGAATTCCATGGAGTTGAAATTAATGAAGTGTTATTTTCAAACGAATTTATATTAAGATTAAAATTAGATTGTGAATTATGACTGATCATTTCATTTTCATTAGATTTAGATGATTGTAAAACTACTGAATTTATAGGGATTTTTATTTGTTCTCTTATTACTTTGTCTGTTGTTTTCGTATTAAATACATAAGAACTGTTTAGTGATAATGATGATGGTGATGAAACAGTTGTTGTTAAAGATAGTGATGATGTAGATTCTGTTGAATTCTTTGATAATATTGAATTTGAATTTGTTGAATAAGTTGAAACATTAATATAACTGGCTGCAATTGCAGCGGCTGCTACTGCTGCAGCATTCAATTGTTGATGATTATTTTCAATGTGTTCATTTGTAGAATCAGTTAAATAAGTATAATAATTTTTATCTAATTTATTTTTTTGATAGAATTTTGAACATGAATAAAAATTTGTAATTGGATAGTTCAAATGTCTATAAGATGGTTTATTATTATTTTTATTACCATTCAGTAGTAAATTTTCTTTATGAAATACATTAGAAAGTGTTCGTTTCGGTATTGTTGATTCCATTTGATTGATTTTAAACCATTGTGTCATTTTTGAATTTGTACTATTTGCTTGTAATTCTTTTGTAATATATTTTGTATTATTGGATGTAAATAATTTAGTGAAATGTTCTAAATCTTTCCTTTTTTTAGCTTGAGTTAATTTTCGATTTCTTGTTTGAATCACTTCTTTTTTCATAGATAATGGTCGATTTATCTGGGGAGGGGGAGGGGGTATTGTTTGTTTATATTTTTTCAAAAACAAGAAACATTGAAAAGTAAAGTATTCATTTATGATAGATACTATGAGTACAATAATCAATGTTTTAAATTTATATATTTAAACAATAGAATAAACTCTATAATTTATTAATGCAACATGGTAGTGAAATATGTGTAAATTCATTCAAATGTTTTGTGCTCAAAATACTTCGTGCTTACTGATGATTTGAGCTTCAATCGACTTTCTAATGTACACACTTACCATATGACTAATCATGTAAAAAAAAACTGGGAAAAACTGATCAAGTTCGTGAATTCGATATATCAACCAATAGTTTTCATCAACGATCACGGATGGATTTATGTTCTTAAGACTCGAATAAATGTTGTTGATGGAACCATGAAAGCTGATATCTCTAGTATTGTACTCATTTATTTTAATAATTACATGGGTTTTTTTTATAACTGAAAACTTTTGGTTATTAATGAAACTCGTCAAAGAAGTTCCACCAATGCTCCTAAAGAATAACTGATATGGAATACAGTTATTTGTAACAATAGAATACTGAATTTAGTAATAATTTTAAAGTATTCATTTGTTCACCATAGTTTCATAATAACGATGCTTTAATAAAGTATGGATTATCCTATACTTTCTCTAAACTAGGTTAATATAACCCGGTGCAGTAATCTTTTGCACTTAGCTAACTAGCGGCGTTAATGGTGTTTTGGCTATCTTCTTCTCCTTTTGACCTTTATTAAGCAATTATTTCCTGGATTCTCAACCGTATTCAGCTTTTCAAATGATGATCGATATTTCTCGGTAAGGAATCTAATCCTCAGCTCTAGAATAAGCCAGTTATCAAGCAGAAAATTTATGTCAGCCCATAATTCTTAACGTAGAGATTCACAAAAGTTATTCTTTAGAACTAGTTAAATTCATCCTTTGTTGCTTTTGGTAATGTTTAATGGTTAAGAAAAAGGTTGCAGTTAATTTGATTATGTTTTTCGTCCGCCATTTTAGAATAAGGCTACTAAATTTATCAGAATGGGTTTTGTGGAGATTTTTAGAAATTTCACTGGTTGAAATCATGAGTCAATTGAAGCTCAACCACCATGGAAAACCTGGAAGCACTGGACGGCCGTTTCGTCCTAGTATGGGACTCCTCGGCGGTGCAATCTAAAGTGATTTTCTTACTTTGAGTTTATTTCGTAAATTCATCGAGATTTATAATATATTAAACTTACATGATGTAATTTGTAATAAAGTCCACATGCGTTGCATACTGAATCGCCTTGTTGATTACGTCTCCATAATGTTGTATGTGATGTTCGACAATTAGCACAGAATGTACCAAGTTTACGGTTTGCGGACTTAATCAAAATTTAGGTAAATAAAGGCATATAGTATATTTTCATCGTATGATAAGTATATATACATATAAATTTGAAATCACAATAAAAAGGGATCTCAATCTTGAACCGCGTAAGTTAACAACAATAAACATAAATTAGTAATTTCACCCAGAAAATTAATGTGGTCATGACTAAAAATAAATATTGCTTTTTATAGATCATATTACGTAGAATCATTTCAATTTGTTCAATTTCATGAATCATTTTTGATAGTCCTGTTGACAATTCTTGGACTGACAGTATGTAAAAACTTCTTGACATATTCTCCGTAGTTGCTGTTTTTCAATGGTGAACATTAATTTGTAAGAGGACATTTATATACTATTTATTGTTGTATCATTTATAAATCTTCAAGATATAGAATTATAATATTTGTTCGATCTCAGTACATCGTGAAAGGTATTTGCAAAACTGTATTATTAGATATCTGGTAGTATGTAAAAATTTTGCTTTTCTACGAAATGAATAAATTTATTTCTGTTTTGATCTGACTTTATTCTATAGAATTACCAAATTTCATGTCAGCTAAACAATTTTCTAGAATGATTTATTCTGGGTCAGTGTAATCATTCATTTTCGTGTTTTTACTTCATACATGTAGGAGATAATTGTATAACATTACATCCATTTTAGCTTGAAGAAACTATTATTCACTTTAATATAGTGTTAATGAATAAAAGTTAATGTTTCAATAAACCTATTACTTGTATTAGCTTAACTGTAATCATAATTTGCTATGGCATTGAATATATCATACAACTATTGGTGTTGATGGTATTCCTAAAAAACCCTAGAAGAAATTCTACTTGTATATCAATCATTAGTACAGTTGGATCAAACTAAAAACTACAGGTTGTTGCTTTAATTTCACAATTTTCATCATGTGGAAACTTGGATAGACTATGAAAATCTATTTTTTTTATGTCGGCATTTAAATTGATAAAAATATAAATACATCACCAAATCTATATCCTTTAGTTTTTCTTAAAATCCTTTCAGAAATTCATTTAACCGATGGTCTTACTTTAAAAATGGTTATACTTTTAGAATGATAGGGTTTTAATTTGTCAGTGTATGTTATTGTAACTGAAATTATTTAAAAAATTACGAATATATATATATATATGAAGTCAACTAGGTCAGAAGCCAAATAGTTACCCATCATTAGTATAGGATTAAGATTGATGACATTTCACTTGCCGAGTAATTTGAAAATGATTGTATACTAATTTAGTCGTTGAGTGTCATATAATTTGATGATCCTAAATCAAATTACATCGGTGTTAAAAGCTAAGGTGAACCAACCATGAAATTCCTCATCGTTTTCAAATGTACTTTATAATTGGTTCCATTTCTTGTTAAAAACTATCTTCAAACGAGGTTATTATCTTAGTTTCATACATACTAGATCTGCGAGTTCCTAATATACCGGAACTTATGTAGTAGTCCTTGATATGAGCTACTATTAAATATCAACAACTAGCAAAAAATGCCATATCTGGCTTTAGTCATGTTGTTTCAACTTACAGATATAATATATATTTCAGGAAGTTTTATTTAATTTAGCGAATTTTTTTGGTTTCGGTCGAACTTTAAAAACCATTAGGTTAACTGTATATTTGTCGGCCATTTGTGTAACGTTGAAATCTTTCAACACTTTTGCGATGAAAAAGACACAAATGGTTGATTGTTATAAAATACGCCGAATCATTTTAAAACTTCACGCAAAATTCAGGTTGTTAACAAAGTCACATACTAATAAACTGGTAACAGATTTACCAAGCTAATAAGATTTCAATGATATTTCTTTTAATCATAAAGCAGAAACATAGTAAGGTTTAGATCCTGATGAGAGATTTTGAATATAGAAGAGTTAGTAATATATAGATAGATAGATTGAACTATCCTTAAATGAGAGCTTATATTTGGATAGGATAAAATTTTCTAGGGGTAAAATATCAAATTAGCAATTTATTTATAAATGCTTTCATTTATAACTAAGGATATTTAGTTTGGTATTTCTGAGGATGACCAGTTATTTCTGTTTGTTAACTAGTTATAAATTGATATTTGACCATTTCTGTTATGAATTCCTTCTCACTCAACAATAAGTAGTATAATGTACAAGTCTGGAACTTCTACAAATTGGAATGAAATGTGTATTTTTTTAATTTTAAAAGAATACTACTACTAATATAAAAATGAACGATTATAAATAAAATGATTTAAATGCTAATTTGAATTTTTAAAATTGTAGATCAAGAATTGTTTAGTTCGTCCGCTAAAAAGTTATGTGTGTATTTAGAGTAATTTTTCTTAGAATCTTTAGTTTTTATCTACATAGAGTAGTGTACATAGATTTCATAGACATTTTACTAGCAAACAGATAACTAAAGCCGTATGATTACTTCATTTTCCATTACCCTGAAGTATTTATTAACTATATACTATGATTAAAAATTGTAAACAAGATGGAAATGTTTAACATAATGTGAATTACCATACGACGTTTTGGTTTTATCAGCGGTCGGTTCGTTCCATTCATTTTATGATATAATCCACATGCATTGCATAAATAATGTCCAGCTTCATCTCTACGCCATAATGGTGTTTGAGTAGCTCCACAGTTAACACATTCTCGACCATCTATAGAAAATCGTGATTTGAATTATTATCTTAGAGTAAATTAGACGTTAGCCACATAAAAATAAACTGGTTATGAAATAAGATCTTTGAATGTACATGTTTTTCAGCAAAACTACTTTTTTTTTACTGGTTTAAATAGCATAAGAGGGACAGTTTATGGTATAGATATAACCAAACACTCGAACAACCAGTACTTGCATTTAAAGTATTAAATAAATGTTAAGTGAGATTAAAGCAGTATAGTTCAAATTGTCAAGTTTGTGGATTTTTAGTTGCCCTAATTACTACTAAACTGATTAGTTATGATGATGATAACTGTGAGAATTTATAATTTGGTTTGTTTTTCAGTCAAGCACATATAACACAGCGCTGTTTAAAGTAGATAAGTCAAATAACACTGTCAAAGCCATCTAAATTGTGGCACAACCGAAAAACAATAACAAATTCAGGCGTTTAAATATGAAAAGTTTGAGATTTTCAACTCATAATCCTCAGAGAAAAAAAGCTTTCAAAGTAAATGTCAAAACAAATATTGAACAAGTTACAAAATAGCAATGTTTCAGTTACAGCATCAAACATTTATAATGTTATAACAAATGAGTTGATATATTAGACATCATGAGAATTGTATTGACTCGCATGTTAAATATACCCCTTATGTTTTTGTGGTTTTCTTTTTAACTTTCCTCTATTTTCTTTGATACGCTGTTCATCGGTTACGTATTGATATGTTCTTTCTTATTTGTAGGAAGAATTTATTTGAAAATTACATTTTCAAGAGTTTTTTAACTGGTGAAATGTATTATTTAGCGAACCACGTTTTGTCATTGTAATGGACGCTACTGATAAGGATGTTTGTAAGTATTGCGTAGCTGACATGGTGTCGAATTTGTGACAATTGAGAAAACTTCCAATGCACTGGAAGCATGGAATTGGCAGAACACTTAGAGACCAGACGGGAAGACAGTTCAGATGGCAGAAAACACCGAAAGATACTAATCGACTATTGAAGGTTATGTATATGTATTGTGTAAATACTTTGTAACTTCTCGCAATAAACACATATTTCTGTTGACTGTTGAGGTGGTTTACAATGTAGCAACTAGTTTGGAAGATTTACGCCAGTCATCTGAACTGATTTTACGAGATATTCAACAAGATCTATTTGTATGTTAATTACGAATGACTGGAATGAGGAAGGTGGTTCTAGGAACATACTCTGAACATCTGGCTTTGGTTTGTTCAAGTGAATCCCATTAACTTCGGTTATATGTAAATAACGAACTTTCATGCTGAGGATAATATGGTAAATAATTCTATTTTATTTTCACATTCACTCAATATCTGGACTGTGAACACAGACATTTTTTGGTTCTTTCGGCATATTCTCTTTCTAATGATGAAGATTGTTGTTAAGTGTTATAGCTAACCGATTTAACTAAATATTGTAATATATAACCCCAATTAACACAAAATCGATTAAACAGTCAAGTATGCAATGTGGATTTTCGATTGAAATAAATCATTAGAATCATATCATTTCATTAATTTGTTCATTGCAAAGGAATTAAAAATAACTATTATGTTAATGTATTATGAGGTGGTAAATTGATATATACGGAACAAATATGATTAGACAGTCTACTTTCAATCTACAAACTTTAATGCTAACTTCGGATAAATAGAATACAACCTCAGAATACTGAACTATATACAGTGACAAAAGTGAATTGTTTAAGTATTAGTGAAGAAACTATTGATTTTACCGTCTAAAGTGTATTTGTTTAGCTATTTTTAATCAGTTTATAGGATTTATAACATTTACTAAAACTTCAATGACTAGTTATCGGGGTTATTGTTAAAAAGACTAAGTAACTGGAATATAAAGTAAAGAAATTTTAATATGGGAAATTTATCTAAGAAATATCAAATATCAGAAGAGGTTTTGTGGAGATTTTAGTAATTTCAATAGTTGAAATCATGAGTCAATTGGAGGTAGACCACCATGGAAGACCTGGAAGCACTGGACGGCCGTTACGTCCCAGCACGGGACTCCTCAGCAGTGCGCACCCACGATCTCGTGAATTAGTTGAAGTTAGACATTGACACCGTTGGATGCCGGCTCAGTGGTCTAATGCTTAGGTGCTCGCGCGCGAGACAGATAGGTCCTGGGTTCGAATCCCGCGGATGGCGAGATCGTGGATGCGCACTGCTGAGGAGTCCCATATTAGGACGAAACGGCCGCCCAGTGCTTCCAGGTTTTCCATCCTGGTCTAGATTCAATTGGCTCATGATTTCAGCTACTGAAATTTCAAATATATCAAATTACTTAATCTCTACAATGTATAAGTTTAGAATAATTGTGGCAATAATAATGATAACAAAACACCGATTGACCAAAAGATACATTATTACATTCATATGTTCCTGGATAAGATCAAAATATAAGAATGTGTTCTGCACAATCTGTCTCAGATTACAATAATGGATTAGGATCAAATCTGGATTTAGATAATTATAACCAAAAAAATCGTTTTTTAGGCACATTTCACTTATGATAGCATTTAAACTGTCAATAATGCTAGGATTTTCAAAAATAAATTTCGGCGATCTATTAGATCATTATTTACTTATTATCTTGTGAAACGAATGTTATTTACTGAATATTTTGTTTAAAAAAATACTCATTAGTTCCTTCAATTTTTTTGAGATCTGTTCAATACAAAGATAGTGTTCTTGGTCGACAAAAATCAGTCAAAAAATCTCTGAAAACTAAGAAGTAGTAGTATTTCCTCAATTTTTGAAGCTCCTAAGTACTGATTACCAGTAACTCCCTAAACGACCACGTAAATATATGCTTAATACGATAAGTTAATCGTTGATAATCCCACCATTAGAGAGAAGTAACCGTTAGACGCTCTCTAGATTTCCATGATTGTTCCAACTGATACGAGAATATATGATGAAAACTACCTTCATAGATCAGTTTATAAACTTTGTTCTCATTATGTTAGGTGGTTAGAATTAATCGACAAACAGGAAACCATGAACCTAGGTTTCTTGCTAGTTGGAACTCACCAACAGGACGTACTTACAATTTCGATTAAATCGATGCTCAACGTGGTATTCGAGCATTATAATTTGCTCGATAGAATTCGGCTAGAATTAGAGGTTAGACAAACCACTCAATTATCAATCTATATATCAATTTAAATAATTAGAACTTTTTTCTTTAGTACCGAAGCTTACGAAACTTCTTCGCCATTCTAGTCAGTTACTGGATTTACTGTATTATTCAGTGTTTAGGAAACCCTGCTAAGTGGAAAAGCTATTCAAATGGTAAATGAGAAAAACTATGGTGTATTGCAATTATTGTTGAATGTATAGACGAGTTCAATCATTTGTTTTTCACAATCCGAATAAGTTGATAATAATATACTTAATTGGTTAACTGAATAACACTGGTTCAAGAGCTTTTAAATTTTAAAATTAATAAGTATTAGTAAATAGTAAAAATTGTCACTATGGTTGTTAACATCTTTCTCATAGACTATAACATCAAATGTAGTACACTTGGTGTTAGGTTGTTTGATTGATTGAATGGAATGGACATTTCTGGTCATCAGATTTTAGCTAAGAATAATCTATATGTATTAACATTCATTAACTAACTTGAACGTATCATTTTTATTTTATATGGTAAACAATCCTTATTCTTTCTAATATACTTTCAATTAAAACATAATAATGATTATATTACCAATAAAAGATAAAGTATGAAATTAGAATTTGACGTGATTTTCATCTTAAACTGACATTAGATATAAAACAGTTGAAAACCGGTGGATATTGATTGACTAGTTCTGTCTACTTAAAAATTCATAACCATAAAGCCACGAGGAATTAAAGGTGAGACGACCTTTAAGCGATGCTAGAATGATATTGACAGTGTTCACTTAATAACCAAGACCAAATGAAGGTTATGAACCTGTGTGAGGAATTAAAATTATAATTTACAGTTGATGATTAAGCTTAGGAATCAGATTTCGGGTTTTCATCACGAAATGACATCAGCTATAATGGTAAAACTTTATCCAAATGGATGAGTGAATGTCGCGCCAAAATCTGAGACCTTTTATCTTATACATGATTGGTTCGTCTATAACTTATAGTCTCACCGAAATAAACTATCTCAATAAAAAAGTTTATCTACATTCTCAACTTCAATTACATTAATTATTTCATTATATTTTTTATATTCCCTTAACCAATACAAACAATCAATAATTTTGTTAACGATAAAAATTGACATTTAATTTTGATCTGATCATTTTTTTTTTCAGATCAACTCCATCTTCATATTGTTCTATCGATATTTTGTTTTCATTCATTATTATAATTTATGAATAACTTTCTTAATTTTAAAATTAATTCAGTTACCTGTTAAAATTTTTGTTTTATTTCTTAATTTATTAGCTAATGAAGACATTCTTAACATTTGAACAGTTGTAGCTGGATCTAAACCATGAAAAGCGACAGCAGCCGCTGCTGCAGCTGTCAAATCAGGAATATCTTGTTTAATAGAATTTGTTGTTTTAGTTGTTGACATTATTGATGGTATTGTATTTCCTATAGTCATTGTTATTGCATTTGATAATGAACAATGTGATATGGAATTTGTTGTAAATAATAGATCCATTTTATTATTATTATTTGTTGTTGTTGTTGTATCAATTAAATTCCTAGTAAAAACATCATTGACCAAATCAAAATTCTTAACATTTCTATTAGTTAATGAAGAATCGAATGAATTGAAGATTTGAAATGTATCTGAATAGTTGGTTTGATCTTTATTATTATGATTACCATTATTATTATTATTATTATTATTATTATTATTGTGTGTTGACATAAAATCTGTATATGTTGAAGAATATAAATTGTTCATACAGTAAATATTCATAAGATTATCATCACTAATATTAGAATGATTATTTTGATAATGTATACTAGAAATAAATGGATGTTGTTTACTTTCTAGTTCAATTGAGTTAGGTAACAAATCACTAGTCAATTGACGGAATGAATTCAATGGTATTTCAGATGAAATTCTTATTGAATCATGATCATTGTGTAATTGTGACTCTGGTGTACATTTAAAATTTGTGAATAATTGTTCAATAGATTCTTTATGATTATGGTGATAATATGAAAGATGGGAATTTTGTTGTTCATGACGATTTGATGATTTTTATTATAAGTAATCATACTATTGTCATTATGATATTGTTGATAAAGTGAAGGAGATATTTGTTCACCTAACCAAGATCCAAAATTTGTCAGTGATTTATTCCATGATGAATCAACAGTAGACTGAAAAAGGGATGACGGTCTATAAGTTGGAAAAAACCCAAAGAAACAGAAGACAGGATGAAATGAGACTAACCTAGAATATTTATTGGCATTGTAGATCAACGAAAGTATAACATTTTTAGGTACAGTTACATTGTACTGTCAGCCTTGAGCAACTACAAAAAAGATGGTGAGATTTTCATGGCACTTAACAATTAAGAAATAAACAGTTAGTTTAAACCAAGAATGTTTCACTGAAAAAGTAGTGAAGCACAAATAAGTTTAGGACCTTTACAAAGATCGTGATATTTTCAAGGTTTATAACTTGTATTTTCATCTTAATACTGAATTAATTTCATTACGAAAACTGAACCCTCTAATGGAAAATGAGTTTCCCTATTGGTCCTTTATGAAGCCAGAAATAGTCAATAAACGATTTTATGTTACCTTTATATGATATTCATTATGTAGTTTCTACTAGTGACGTTATTTATTTCCTTGATTTTTCTTAAAAGAAATTAAACAATGTAGGGTATTACATTACTTAAAAGATAGATTTCTAAAAAGTTGGCTCGAACCCTTCTAGAATCCTCAATGTTTATTTTTCAAATCGTATTTATAATTCGTTTATATAATATATCATCAATTTTGCTTTTAATGATTAATCTTATTACCTTGTAGTTAGAAAATATTCACCTAATCAATAGATAAATATTACAGAATGAAATCACGAATCAATTGAAGCTAGAACACCATGGAAAGCCTGGAAGCACTGGACGGCCGTTTCGTACTGGTACGGGACTCCTCAACAGTGCGCATATACGACCCCGCACCCCGCGAGATCCAAACCTAGGACCTATCAATCTCGCACCAGGCGCTTAACCAACTAGACCACTGAGCCAGCATCCAATGGTGTTAATGTCTAACTTCAACCGATCCACGAAGTTGCGCCACCGTACACCATTGTCTTCAATGAGTTTATATCTCACAACAGACCTGGTTGAACTCCACTGGTATCGGCTCCTCACTAGAACTCCAGGAGTATCTCATGAAGGGGTTTGGGAGATTTTAGAAAATTCACAGATCGCTGAGGAGTCCCAAACTGGGACGAAAAGACCGTCCAGTGCTTCCAGGTTTTCCATGGTGGTCTAACTTCAACTGACTTATGATTTCAATCTGTGAAATTTCTAAAATCTCCACAAACCCTTCAGATGAATATTAGTTGGTAATCGTTTGATAGTTTAAATTAAGCAGTTTAGGTAGTCTCAAAATCACTGATTACAGTAATAATTATTATAACTTATGAATAGGATTACATTGCATCCTAGTTAATTGGATGATATAAATTTAAATATTCAATAGTAAGTAATCATATCTTTTTCCACTAAAGAGTCAAAATTTATTGAAAAACTAAACTAAGTTTATTCGCTCTCATCGAATAGATTTCAATACACAATAATTGAATTAGTAAACAACTGGTTATTGTACACATATGTATTTTGACAGTTGAATTTACGAGTTAATCTAAGCAAAACCACAACTGAAAACCTGGAAGCATTGGACAGCCGTCTTGTTCTAGTATGCGACTCCTCAACGGTGCGCATCCGCGATCCTGCACGCAGGACATACATATTTATTTATTTTGATATGTAAAACGTTCATACACTATTTATAAAACGAATTCACAATTACTATATTTGGAACCATGGCTCCTCACTTCACTTTGTGTCTAACCGATTTGATACAAAAAGAATTCTCTGGGTGAATCTGTCATTTAAAACTGTGTTTACATAATCTGATCAATAATCAATTCCTATTTGCTACGTTAGCCTTTGTTGACATTAGAGCAAAAATTTGTTGAACAGTTGGAGTAATAAAAAAATACTAACATAATAAACTGATGTCAACTAAATGTGATTATTAATTAGGAGTTATGATTGAGTCAATAATGAGAAATTTTGTAGTTTACATTATTGAAAATCAATGAGAAACAGGCAGTGGTGAAAGGCTGTTTTGTGTTGGTGAACACTGTTAAAGAGTCTCATACTATGATAAAACAATTATCCAGTACAACTTTGTTTTCACCCGTTCTCTAAATAAAGTCCATCCATCTCTATGATACCCTCCTCTATTGTGAGTAAATCTGACAGTCTGGATATCATTGTTCACCTTGATTAATAAATTGTAATTTACTTACATATTTGTTGTGTTTATTGATTTTTGTATCTCCTCTTCATTTTTCTCTTCTGATTCACATACGGCACTTTTTTCTTCTTGTTTACAACAATTCATCATAGGTAGAATTAATGATGATGGTGATGATAATGACATTGATAATGAACTAGAGTTAATGTTATTAGTTTCTTTACTAAACAACCCATAATGACGTTTGTTATTTGTAGATCCGATAAACAAGTGATCAGGAATATGAATTTTATTATTAGGGTCATTATTACTTAAGGAAGTTGGAATTCGTGAGTTATTAGCGTTCATTGAAAAGCTGGATACTTTAGAATTATTTATAATAAATGGCTGTTGTTGATCTTTCTCCACATCTCTATCTTCTTCCCCACCATCTTCCTCCTCCTCCTCCTCCTCATCATCATCATCATCATCATCATCATCTTCTTCTTCTTCTTCTTCTTCATCGTCTACGTCTTCGTCATTTTCATGGTTAACTAATTTACTTATCATAGTAAATTCATTTCCTCTTCGCAGTAATTATCACCAACATCTTTCTTTTCTGAATATAATTTATGATGTTTATTAAGATCACCAAAAGTATTTGATAACACTGATGATTTCTCCCATTCATTGTTTATCCAAGTGTCTGGCTTACTAACTCGTTGATTATCTGATGTAGTAAATGATTAAATTTTCAAAACAAAAACAAAAACAAACATTCAGTATGCATATTTAGAAGAATGCCAATTAAAAGGTGCTAGAAATTCGAAAATTTCGTCCAGTATAAATTTAATTGAAGTTTTGCTAAATATTATAAGGACGTGAGCAGATAATTCACTCTTGTTCGGGACTCTCCAAGAGTTCATTTCAACAACCCCATACAGAATGTGAACCAATGCTATTCGGACATTGCTTCCAGTAAATGAATTATATTCAAGTGGTTCGCATTTTCAAATTTAGTTAATTCTTGATTTGGAGTAACCATCATTTAATTCCATTAGTAATAGCTATCTTACCATCTACATTATCGTTTACGCGGACATTGCCGCTGATTATTTAACGATTTATTGATTTAATACCATAGTTCCTTTCAGGTAAATCTAATGTGAGCAGTTATATTTTAACAGTTTTCCTTACATGGTATTTTTTTCACATATCAGAAATGTTTAGAAATTAAACACATCAGTTTTAAGTAGTTTTATTCAGTCTTATATGGTAGAGAAAATTGCTTAAGAGAATGTTTAGGAGAATTCAAACTATCTATTGAATATTCTGCGAATTCCGTAACGTCTGTGAGACCAGTATAGGAAACTCATCTTTTCAAACACCAAAACAGTCCGAATACAGTCAAATTCAATCTGTTTTACATAAATATCCTTTTTTTACAATGATCAGTGTTTGACTGAAATAACTGTTCGTTTTTTTAATATTTAACTACTTCATTCATCAAAGATGACTGAAGTATATAGAAACATGTAAATTTTATCAAAAAAATATTTATTTTAATAGTTGAGATCATGAGTCAATTAAAGCTAGACCACCATGAAAAACCTGGAAGCAATGGACGGCTGTTTTATCCTAGTATGAGACTCCTCAGCAGTCTTGCGCGCGAGCACTTAACCTCTAGACCACTGAGATGGTCGCATCCAACGGTGTAAATGTCTAACGTCAACTAATCCACAAAATTGTGCGACATATCCACCATTGTCTTCAGTGAGTTACTATTTCACAACAGACCCGGTTGAACTCCTCTGATCACTACTTCTCACTAGAACTCCAGAAAATACTTTTTGAAACCAGTCACTACTGAGCATTTGTTGATTAGTATCGGAAAGGCCGTCCAGTGCTTCCAGGACTTTTTTATTTGTTTCATGATGTAAAATGAATTATTACCATGAGAAAACTGTCAGTAAAATAATTTATTATCAGAAACATGGTTTTGTGGAGATTGTAGTAATTTAACAGTTGAATTCATGAATCGATTAAAGCTAGGTCACCATGAAAAATTTGAAGGCACTGGACGGTCGTCTCGTCTTAGTATGGGACTCCTCAGCAGTGTGCATCCGTACAAGAATTTCTATAACGTTGATACCAATTAAATAAATGAAGAATTGAATATCATTCTTTCAGTGGGATTAAATTTTTTCTGTAAGTCAATGAACTTTTTCGTATTTGTAACTTCATTCAGTGTTGTTTTAAGAACCAGTCACTTGGAACAAGATTTCTGGGTAGCCAAATTCGATTTTTCTTATATGGCTTAAAGTTTCCAATGTAATGATTTAAAAAGCATTTTGTTTCACTCTACTCCAGTTGAATTTTAGTTGGTAATACCTTTTTGAACGTAGTTTCATATAGCATTACCATGTCGTAGAATATCTAAGAATGCAGGGATGATAAACTCAGTAGTAGGGATTTCATATCTGTAGATCATTTGAAATCATTTTTGAGTATCCCATAGACGCTAAAGGCATAAGTGATGGAATTGAACTATGTTGAATTATTATGTGATTTTCCAGTATATTATTAGTAAAATTAAGTTAAATGAACTATGATGGTTGATGATAAGCATCAATGGTTACTAAGATCCGATTTTATCTACACGGGTAGTAGGGAATAATGATGTTGTTTAGAATGACAACAAAAACTCCGTTTACCTTATAGAACATAATATCAACCAAACCTAATTAGTGGTAGTTGGTTTGTGTGTATCATTTACTAATATGATTTACCTGACACTTGTCACTAAGTTTAATAATTAACAGTTGTTCAAAAAAAGAAATATTAGAAACAGATAACAACATGATTGTAACTTCAGCTTAAAAATAAAACACTTATCGTTTTGTAGAGTTTTAAAACAGATAATATGAAAGATTATGATAGAACAACTTGAGATTTCACAGCCAAAAAGGTCTTTAAAAATTATTTCCACTTTCTATTAGCATGTTAACAATTAGGCGTCATGCAAAGCAGAGAAGATATTTGATGGGAAATTTTCACGGTTATATCAGTTGTCATGTTGACATATGTATGTACACTTTTGGTAGCAGGTATCGAAGTTAATATTCAAAGGATTCAAAATAACCTTTTCTTTTATTCTGTTGCGTCACTATTTCAATAAAACATTCACAAGAACAAACAGATAAGCAATTTTTTCTGTTCGATAACTTGATGGGAGAAGTTAGAAATAAATGAAAGAAGGTTAAATATAACTGAGATGATAACTAAGAAATTAGATACAAGAAAATATTTAATATGATCATTCGATTATCCATTCACTATTTAACCTAAATATTTAAGCTCACATAAATGTATACATATTAAAATCATAAAAAAATTTGTTTCCCTTCGCTTATTTCATTATTTATTTATAATGAGTCTCTTAGGAATATTGAATCAATCGATATTTATGATTTTGTCATTATCATCTATTGATTTTAATGATAATGATCATAATCTTGATGATACTAATGATAATATTCAGGTTTTCTTTACATTTGTCTTCCCCCCTTAATTCTCTTGTGATATAATAATAATAATAATAGTGATAATGGTAATAACAGTAATAATAATGGTAATAATGGCAATAATAAAAGTAATTGCCAACAATGAAATTACCATGTTTTACAGGACTTTTTTCTCTTTCGCTTATTTATTAATGATTTTGATAACAGATGTTCTATGTAAAGTTAATTTATGTTCTTCAATCATAAGAGTTTAGTTTACCTATCAACATTGATTCAAGAGAGAGAGAGAGAGAGAGAGAGAGAGAAGAAAACAAACAAATACACACATGCATTTTAATAATTTCGCTTTATTTATGCGTTACACTATTCAATATATATGAAAGAACATCTTCCTTAATAAGATGTAAATTACTCTTAGGGACTTGTAATAAAATCTATATCAACTTCATTTAACTATTAAGTTTTTTTTTACTTGTTATTATTGCTGTGGTTGTGTTCTTTCCTCAGTTTTTATTATTATTTTTTGGGAAGAAAAAAAATGAAAACCTTTTTTTTCGTTGGTTTCTCAAATAAATTTATTACTTTTTGATAAAGTTTAATACATAAATTATTGTCTATTATACTAATTAATAGATGTTGAGTTGAAATCTATATGGATTTGTTCCTGTTAAGATAAACAGAAAATACAATTCTTTGAATAAGCTGAAATTATTAGAGTTCATTGTATTTGATCATTATCAGTCTACATTATAAGACTGAATGAGAACAAGTTATGATAAAACATACAGTTTAGTTAATAACAGTTGAATTAATGAGTTGATCTATGCTACATCACCACTGAAAACCTGAAAGCATTAGATAGTTGTTTTGTCTTAATACGAGACTACTCAGCAGTGTACTGTTAATTTAATAACATAGTCAAGAAGGAATTCTTTCAGTTAAAATTCTTCCTTTTACAATAACCCAAATGAACACTACAGCAGGATAACCATTTATTTCTATTATGAACCATGTCTGGTAACACATTAAGCCACTGAGTTGCACCATCTGTGGATCCCAACCAGAAAGTCTTAGTGAACTGATAGATGCTAGTCCTATATAGTTGTTTTCCCTATCAAGGTGTCATGTCATAAGCTATAACTAAAGTCACCCCTTGATGTGGAATTTCAAATTTAACAACCTCTACTTTATAATAACTATTTAATTTATTGAATTTGAAGGTTATATAATAACACCTACCGAATCTAGAAAGATTAAATAATCAATGAAAAAATAGTCAGTTCCATTACACATGGATCTCATAATTACATGCAGACAATATAGTTTAAAGATAACCAAAATTCGCTTCTATCGAACAACAAATGTACATTATATGAAGAATAACGTAGAATAACATGAATTACATACATTTCGTTAGGTGATCGTCAGTTGCTCGCATCTTATGATGTTTTGTAATCAAAATTATTAATCAAGTTAACATAAATATACAAGCCAAATTTATGAGACGTGATTATTTATCATCACTATGGAATGGCAATTGGAATTGTAAGCACAGTTAATAAAGTCAAAAAGTTAGTTGATTATGTAATAAAGTAGATGAACATAATTTTATCATAATTAATAATAACGTGAGTTCAGATCAATCACTTAGAAATAAAATTCTGAATTTGAAAGATTTAAAAATGATGCATTCGAAGTAAACGAAAGAGTTGTAAAATATAGTGTAACAAAACCAGGGTAATGTTACCACCGTAAGGAAAGATTTACCACTGTTTCTTTTTGAAGATCTAAATCTGATTACAGACAGTTGTTATGGCTTCAAAAAATTCAAGAAGACTAAAGTTTGGTTGCCCATTAACCACTGTGAAAAATTTCAATGTATCAACCTGATTTCCTGTGTCAAAGTGATGTCTTGAAGTAACACTAGTGAAAGCCTCTAATCCGTTTGACCTTAAACTTTTTGAAAGGTTATTTTTAGCTCTATGACTTTTCATCATTATTTTGAAGTTCTGCAATCTTCTCTTATATACCGTATATATTTGAAGCATTTTCTTCTGTCTTCCTAAAACATTATTTCAATTGCCATTCTATGGTGATGATAAATAATCACGTCTCACAAATTTGGCTTGTATATGTATGTTAACTTTATTAATAATTTTGATTATAAAATATCATAAGATGTGAGCAACTGATGATAACCTAACGAAATGTATACAGTTTATGTCATTCTTTGTTCCGAAATAATCAACTGAACTATGTGTATGAAAAGTGACTAATAATTGACATTTACTTTTCAGATTTTTGAAATCAGTCATAAACATTTGTATAATTTTATTCGCTTTAATCAATAGGATCTCAGAAAATATAGCAACAGCATAAGTAATTGCTCGAATAATTCTACATATTTCTTGACTGAACTCCACCTAGAACCCTTCTAGAGTTACTACTAATCCTCAGATCTTTAAAAGAAGGGTTATCAGTACTACTTCATAAAAAATAACTACGCTACAAAACCCCTAACTGGAGGAAACCGACTAATTTTTTCTCTGGAAACTGAACGCTATTCATATGAATGAGTAATAACACCTCATAGTGAAAGCTGAAATTCTGTGAAAGGCATCAAGTAAACTGTCCTTCTGATTGACTTTGAATTTTAAATTTACATGAGCTTGACAATGTAACTATAAACGGGATTTAACTATCATGGTTATCACTAATTACTTCGGCAATAATAGAACAAGTTAATTCTACTTCCTATAGTAACAATAAACAAAGCAATGGACGAATTGGTGTCTAAAAATATAATGTAATTAAAACGATAAAAAGCAAAAATAGTTAATAACTTCAAGTTATAGTAATGTTGAAATGAATGTGGTTGAATAGTTCTAGAAATACTGGAACATTGTTTTTGATATTTCGAGTTTACAAAGTAGAGAATAATCGAGGATCTGAATGTGTCATTTGACTAAGTATTAAAATAAATTACGTCATTCGGCCTGGAGAAATAAATTTAACTTATTTTGGATATTCACTATCGTCAACTTAACCTTTGAATATATTCAGTATTGAAGATTAGCTTTCTCTAAGTAAGTGAAATTCTAAAGCCAAATGATTCAGAATAATCGGCCGCATAGAGGATAACTCATGTCTTGAATATATCCTATTATTTGTTTCCTTGTTCATAGCAATATCATATAGAATCTGTAATTTCTAAATTATCATATAAATATTTAGATGAATTCTTTAGGGGTTAGTAATAGTTGCTAGATGACGAGCTACGCTTGTAGTTTTCAGTCACTGAGTGTCTGTCAGGGTCATGTGATGAGATACAGATTTCCTAGTTGAAGTCTGTGTAATAGTCTAAACTTATGTTTGCAGTGGTGAAACTGTATCCACTTTTTACTGTCCCCTACACCTTGAACTTAACGTCATTTCATATTCATTCGTGGACTTTATCCATTTCTTCTGAGCGAGCATTTCTATTTTTGACTTCTCATTTCGTTGATGTTATCATTTCTTCGTTTCTGATTATTATCCCGCTTATTATTATTCGTACTGTATTGATTTAATATGTAACAAATGAAACCCATACTTATTTAAACCAGGTCTTGCTTTGTCTATGATTGACTGACTGAAATCTATACTATAATATTCTTAATGATGAAACACAGTGAATGAAATCATCAATCCTATTCATACCTCGTATAATTCTCTTATTTATATTAGTGACTAATAATGCCATGATATAATGTAATTGAGTAATAATTACCTAAGATAATTAATTCATCACAGAGACTTCGTAGAAGAGCAATGTATTCCAAGGGAGATATCTCTAGAAAACTGTTTTGTAAATTGATGACTGATGAATGTTATTCATTTTGGAATAAATTATATCTGAGAGGTTAATATTAAAAATTTTTTTGATTCTGAATATTTTCAAAAATTACTGAAGATTTTCCAAAAGATCAACCGCTATTGAAAATGGAACTAATAATAATAATAATAGCGATGATAAGAATAATCACGAAGTTTTTTACTGAAATAACAATTAACTGAAGAGACTTTGTTGAGAATTTGTAGATACTTAGTAGGTAATTTCTATCACAAACTGAAGTCAGTCAGAAATTTATTGAGACTCAATAAGGATCAGCTTATATCACAAATTCACCAAAAGTAAAAGCATGAATCACTGAATTTTAACATAGCTATAAAAAGTTATTTCACTTGCTATGACATTTCAATTTCCTGGCTTATATTCTGTGTACCATAATGAGTAAACAACATTAATACCTCCCCACAACAAAAGTAGAATGAAACAGTGTTTTACACCAGTGTTTTCTGATAGTCAGTTCACGTTTTAATTCGTAAAAGCTGCTTAACTTGGATTTATGCTGTCATTTACTATGAAGATATGATATTTATCAGTTAATACATATCCACTATAACACTTCTATATCGGATTATTCAAATATACACTACTTATTCACCAGGCTAGAAATTAATGGCTAATTTGAATATTATGGATCCCAATTTGAATACCATAATTTCTGTGTACAGGGAGATCGTCAATTTTTTTTTCTTAACGTTATCATATAATAATAAAAGTCGTAAGTTTAGCACCCTTCAGAACTGAATGTGTTTTGCACAGTCCTATAGATTCTCCATTTATTTAGGAATTCCAATGGTAAGAAATTCAAATTTTGATAATTTTCGAATGTGTAATATTAACAATAAAGTATACATATAAATATAATGCAATAATATTGATCGGTGTAAACAGAAATTGAAGTTGCAAAGAGAAACTTACTTATTATCACATCATCAGTAGAATGGATTGTATAAGTTTCTAAAGAATGATCATATAATAATTTATTAATACTGCTAGTACTATCATTAATAACTGAAGAACTCATTAGTACAATGGTATTTTTGATGATTTATGCATTAAGCTGTTTGTCGATAGTTACGCATAGTTTAGACAAGTTTTTTCTTAAAAAAAATGTATTGTGAATGAACTATTTTGATAGATCTTTGTATAAGATAAGAGAGAATATATATGACATGATTGAAATCTCTCTTACATCTGTGTTATATTATCAGTTGAGCTGCCACGGGGTTACACAAACCGTTTACATTTTCTCTCCCACACTTGTTTTCACCTCTATTATAGAAGTGAGTGGTAAGTATTTTTAGTTTTATGACATATTTTAACATCAATATTAGCTTTTTAAGAGAATTTTTTAAATCATGTATCTACCTATCTATCTAACCAGGCAGAACGATAAATGTTAAGATAACCATTAGAAATTATCCAAATAACAGGGAGCATTTTCGGAGAGATTTAGATGAGAAAGAATAGAAGAGATTGGTAGACAGACGATAGAAGATGGGAGATTAGATGAATCAGGTTACATGTATCTTTGTCTTGTGTATTAAATTCACGTGTTTACTAAGTGACAAAATTAGCAGGAAGATGAATTAAGTTGAACAGGCAAATATAGATTGTTAGATAGAAAGATGGATAGATAGATAGGTAGATATTTAAATGCTAGATGTAAGTAGTCAGACCTACTGTGTTAGAAAAAACATGTGAACCAATAGTTGTATTAAAAGGGGTGATTGTAATCAATTTATTTTGAAAAACGATTATCAGTTTTAATATAATTTTCATTCCATTCTATTCTATAATGAATAGTTAACCAATAAAATGCATAGATGAAGCGAAATCTGTCACTGATTATTTTAGAAATTGTCTATCCTAAACTGACTTTTATTGACAATTGGGGTAGATTGATTGTAACCTAAAGAATATAATATATTAATTTTCTTTAATTAACATAGACTGGAGAATCAGTGAATCTCAGAGAACGTTGAATAGATGTTATGTTTTATTTTGGGACCGTTTAGCGGCGTACATCCTCTGACGGAGAAAGAATTTTAACAGTTCTCCAGTCAATGTATTTTCTTATCAAAACCGGTCTTTAAACAACCAGAAGTCTGAACAATACATTTAAGCAAATATTTTTGTTAATAAAATATAGTTTTATATTATTAATGATTATACTGTAATTTAAATGAATTGAATGCTGCTGATATTCGAAAGTCTGAATTGATTCACAAGGATAGTTTAGAAAAAAACAACTAAGTATCAGACAAATATCTCGTTATGTTTTAGAATTTTTCAGCAGTGACAATCCACTTTTTCCATAATTTTATTTCATAAAGTCTTAGAATCACTAGTCAGCATGGTGTACCTATAATTTTGAGGGAAGTGTTTCTCCATGGCTGATTGGTGACCGCGTTACCCACTTTCACAACCTGAGCTACCTAGGCCTATACTGAACTCCTGTAGGATTGAGATATTACTAGTTGATTGAATATATATTCCCTTTAGTCATTTTTACTGCTGATCAAATTCAGTCGGTCGAGGACTAGATAAACATGGCATTGAACACTATTTAGTGACCAGTCACTTTTACAGTGAGAATAACTCTATTTAATATCTTATGGATAAAAAGTTATTTTTGATCTTGATGGAAGCAAGCACTGTCTTCATTTTATGAAGGACTCATTTGACTCAACAATTAAAATGTTGATTGGTTAAAGTAAAATCATATTTATATCTCTTTCCCCAGTAACCAGATAATTTAATAAGTTACAATAAAGTACTTCTTAATTTAGAGTTTGTCATTCTCATGTGATTGCTTTCTATCACAAAGTAAAGGAGGTTGAAAATATGAATGACTGATTTGGGCAACTAAGACGTAATGTGTATGTTATTAAATCGGGAGGTCCGGTGTTCTAACTGCTATGGGATTATGGATACGCAATTTTGAAGTCTGAAAGATAGAACACAACCAGCGTTCAGTAATTTCTGGTTTACACTGGATCCTTAGTGGTTATTATTCATTGAACAAGATATCCTAGATGTTCTAAATTCTAAAGTTCATTGTTGAAACAATATTTTGTATGAGAAAATGAAGCTTTCCTTACTTTAGATATTAAAATTACTGAAATACAGATATTCTTAAAATATTATATAGAATAAGGAAATTAGTGAAAAGACATTGTATTCTTGAGTAGACTTCGAGTTCATAAAAAATTCTTAGATATATCACAATCATTATATGCAGTAATAACATATTCATGAAGAAAGTATTTCTTAGATGAATTTCATATTTTGTTAAAACAACACTATTCTTTTCTAATGTACTTACTTATTTACTTACGTCTATTACTCCTCGTGGAGGAGCATAGGCCACCCATCAGCACGCTCCATCCAACTTTGTTCTGGATAATTCTTTTCAGTTTTTATTCATCCTTTTCATGCCTGCTTCCGCTTCTCGACGCAGTATGTTCTTTGGCCTTTCTCTTTTCTTTTTCCCTTCAGGATTCTAAGTTAGTGCTTGCCTCGTGATGCGGTCTGATGATCTATCCACTCCCAACGTGGTTGTCTCATTTCCTCCTCAGTTGGAAGCTGATTTGTTCTATCCCACAGTAGGCTGCTGCTGATGTTATTCGTCCAACGGATATTGGGTATCTTGCGTAGACAACTGTTTATAAATACTTGTACATTTTTGATAATGGTTATAGTAATTCTTCACGTTTCAGCTCCGTACAGTGTATGTCATTATGAAAATATTCTAAACATTTTTAAACCATACTCAGTTCTCCTCTGTTTACATATATCTGCTCCTCTAAGATATTTAATTTAATTATGTTCTGTGATGATATTAAAACATAAAATTAACGGTTTTAGGCCTAGATTTTCTATAACTGCTGTCTCTAATAAATGAATTAGTTAGATTTTAATATTTGTCTAAATAAGATTTTTATCATTTAATCATATTCATGATCTTTTTCCTGATATTTTTCAATACTTTTTAATAAAACTAACCAGTTATTTTTATTCAACAAAATATTCTTTTCCCTCAAAATGATTGTTTGAAGATCATCTCACATTCAAGTCAATTACTTATATTTATTAGCACGATGTTTAAGACGTGTTGAGGTTGGTCAAGCCTTATCCGGTTAGGCCAATTGGTTTTTCTGGAAATAATTTCCGTTTAGCAAGGCTCAAAAACTCACCACGTGGGTGTGATTTTGTTGGGAAATCGTTATGTCCGTGTCTCAGCGTGCGGGCGTCGCACCAGGGACTAGTTTATTCTACATGTATTCCGGCAACACATAAGTTTTCACTAATGCATCCCATACCATACTTTTAAGTATGTTCACCCACTTGAGAGGCTAGATGATCACCGCTCCTTTCGAATATATTCGTTACAGCTGACTGTTGCTTACGAACTACATGCATATCACTGGTACAAAGACTTCTGCCTCTGTACTTCATGACATACAAATAAGCATAAGCACTATTTTAGGGAGGGTTTATGGTCACCTCTCTTTAGTTCTTGCTACCATATTTATTTTTATTGTGTCTTCGACCTGAATGATTAGGTCGCTTATTTTATTAGACATAAGGAAAACATTTTTCAGTTTATGTTCATTGTGCTAACGTACACGCGTACCCCTTGCATATACTTACATACATAAAGCACACAAACGGAAACTCATTTAATTCATATACATAGGCGTACACATCAGATGGCCAGCAAAATTTTAGTGAACCCCGAAATTTGAATCTGATTAATCCGGTTTATAGCAGAATAATGGATCAGTCCGATCTCCACCAACCACCCAAGTTATAGCTAGCAAGATTACCCTCACTACCTAGCAGTGCCACGAGGAGGCCTTAGGTTGAATTTTACTGCTATGTGTTTTAGTAATTTAATTCAATTTTTGTAACAATATGAATAATTATGTAAGTACATCCAGCTTACTGGGAAGTTTTAAGTTCACAAGGCATATCATGAATTTAATTGATAGAGAATAAACTTAAATAGTTACAACAAAGTTCGGAAGTATGAAAAAAAGCTATTTATTCGTAAAAAGTAAGTTAAAATTATGTATAACTTTTTATTTCAGTTAATTCATTTTAAAATTCTATTTTCAATTTTCAATGAATTATTTCTGTTTCTTGCCTATTCCATGTTAATTCTTCCATCGTTCCATTCTAATTGTTCTGTTTATTTTGTGCTTCCGGATATAGGTTTTGTTTCTTCTTCTTCTCATTCTTCTTCTCCTTCTTCTTCCTCTTCTCCTCCTTCTTATCTCCATCAAAATAACTATCATAATCATCAATCAGTGTTTTCATATTTATCATTCATCATAACAATTTATTGTGTTTATGTTTCATACTACTATGATATTTAATATTTACATTTTAAATAATCATAATACAAAATGAAAATTTATCTTATAAGTAAAATGACATACTTGAAAAGAAGCCATTTCATTCGATTACTTAAACATTATTTATATGGAGATGTTATGTGAACAAAAGTGATTGAGTTTGTAGGTGTTAGAATAATCGAGATTTATTTTTCTCTCTCTTTATTTTTTTTTTCATTATAAAATCTAATCATGATAAGGATAGAGATAAAAAAAGAATGAATAGAAGAATTATATTCACCATAGAAGTAACGTAATCATTATAATTTGTAGAAAATAAATAATAACTGTTAGAAATGAATACATTTTAAAAATGATTTTTTATCGGGGGGGGGAGGATAGGAAGAGTGAGGGAGGGAAGAAAGGAGGGAGGGAGAAGTAAACAGTGTCATTTATTGTATATTTAAATGAACATTTTATAAGGCATAGATTTTATTTACATATTCATATATTTATTTATTCATTCATTCACTCATTTACTCATAGAATGAAACAAAGTATCAGTAAAATCATCAAATGAAAGGGTAAGAAGTAAAGTAGAGAAATCGGTGAATGATTCTGAATTTTCCTTGTTCTTCCTACTCATATACTTCTCCGCATATTATTATTATTTTTGTTGTTG